TGTGTGTGTGTGTGTGTGTGTGTGTGTGTGTGTGTGTGTGTGTGTGTGTGTGTGCTGTACGCACCACTGCCCCATCTCTATTACGTGTGTGCCTATCTTGCACTGTTTGCCCCAACTTTTGTTGACACTGTGTGCATGCCCTTCTCTTTTCCCCTGACGGTCGTCTTTTTTTATTTTTGTTTTGTGGGTGTCTGGCAGGTGCTCTGGTATGGTTTGCTCCTTCTTTCCTAACCAATTGAAACATATATCGCCCTTGTCTCCCCTTCTTCTTTTTTGTCTATTTCTCTCCAGTAATACCTCTAATCGTCGGCTCTTATATGACCTTATTGTGTTGCAAGTGCCGTTAAATAGTCTTACTATAACTAAAACATAATATTGTTTGGCTCATAACCCCTTCACTGCCTTGTCCTAGACTTTCCCTGGCGTTAAAATAAAACAAAATGATACCGTAGTCAATATAGTATAGCGGTAAGGTTCTTCGTTGTCGCACGCACAAAACCTGAGTTCTATTCCCATCTGGGGAGAATTTTTTATCGAGTATCTCGGTCTTTCTGCTGAGATGTTGTATCCCTCTCAGCCTGAGCTAGACCAGGGTTGAAGCCCGCCTCCTAAATTATTTAAACTACATTGGACTCCGCTTAAAACGAAATCTGCGGGACTGCCGGATTACAGCTGTGTTTGTGCTTTAGAGAGAGTGCTCTATAGAAGGGGAAAAATCGACGGGGATCTTATTTTCTTTCGGTTTAAAGAGATTAAACGTGTTCGATTTAAGCTGACTTAGCTGTTTGTCGATGGGGGCGTTAAAAACTCTTAATGTTTTATATTTTAAAAAGTTTGTTTTCTTTTATAAATTCTGTTGATACACATGACATGGCAGTGGAGGGGTTAAGTGGCCTTATTTAGTCGAGAAGCGCCGTAAAACTTGCGTCGTCCAATGTGTGAAAAGCGTTTCCCGGCGTCGTCGTTTCAGCCACATGTCGCACAACTACGAGGCGGAGAAGGAACGGGAGAGGAAGTACGGCGCCGAGACCCGCAAGGAGCTGGAGGGCTACGTGGGCTTTGCCAACCTGCCCAACCAGGTCTACCGAAAGTCCGTCAAGAGAGGCTTCGAGTTCACACTCATGGTCGTTGGTGAGTAGCAATTGGTTGATGGAGTTGATGATATGCGTCGTGTCGTTGTTATTGTTATCTTGATTATCGTCATCTTTTTCCCCCATGGTTAGCATCTCATCATCATCATAGGTAGCAGGGAATAAAAAAAGGGTTTGAGACTTAGTAGACTTTTCAAATTATAAGTTTGACGTTTCGCAAAGGGCTTCTTCAGGAACATGTACTAAAAAATATAATGAAAAATCTATTGACTATAAGCTATCATCATCATCGTCATCATCATCATCATCATCATCATCATCTTCATCATCATCATCTTCATCATCTTCATCATCATCATCATCATCATCATCATCATCATCATCATCATCATCATCATCATTTTTGTAAGAATGATAAGTAAAAGCCAAAACTTGATAGAGACTTGTCTTGAGCATTTGTATTGTCGTTTTATGACATTAGAGGAAATTATACAATTATTCAATGTTTCGCCCTTTTGGACTTCTTTTGCAACTATATTTTTTAAAATATGTGTAATCCTCCTCCTCCTCCTCCTCCTCCTCCTCCTCTTCCCCCACCATCATCATCATCATCATCATCATCATCCTCACCTTCATCTCTGTCTTTCCACCCTGGATCAGAGTGTAGGCCACGAACAAACATTTTCTAGCTTTCCCTTTGCTGGGCAAACTTCTTGTTATTATTCCATGTCTGCCCACTTGTCTGAACACCATTCTCTGTGACTTTTCTCGACGTTCCGTGTGGCTTTCTCAAAGACACATGCAAGGATGTAAATATTTTAGACTGTCTCAGATTTTAGACCGGCATCTGTGATGCAGCGGTTAGGCACTTCGCTGTCGGAAACAGGAAATCCGAGTTCGATTTCCGAGCGGGGAGGACATTTTTTTGTTGTTGAGTATCTCGGTCTTTTTCTCCTGAGATGTTGCATCCTTCTCAGCTCGGGTTGGCACTGGCGAGCAGGATGGGAAGCCTGACTCCTAAAAGGCTTACACACACAAACGCACACACACACGTGCACACAGACGTGCGCGCGCGCACACACACACACACACACACACACACACACACACGCATACACACACACGCATACACACACATATACTCTCTCTCTCTCACAAACACACACACACACACACACACACACACAGACACACTCAATATTCTCTCTCTCTCTCTCTTTCCCTCTCTCTCTCTCCCTCTCTC